ACCGAACGACCAGAAGGGGCCGATGCATCTATGAACCGTGACAGTGATAAAGGCCTATTGCTACTCAAAACTAGCCCAAAACTAGCCCAATCGCGTTTCGATGGGGGGGTTCCCCGATAAAAATTCCCCGGGAAAACCGCGGACTTGGCAACACTGTTCGTAACCCAGGACCGTCGGGTTACTTACTGATATCAACCCAAATTGGGTCAAATCAAGTCAGTTTCCTAACCCAACAGTCTCAACCGAGCGTTTGGATTGAAACAATAACCCAGCGTGTTTAAAAAGTAGGCCTACATGTATGTTTTTTCTCAAACGCTTTCAAAAATAAGATTGTTGTTAGGTCATAATATACATACCACGTAATATTAGAATAGGTACCCCTTAATTTCAAAATACTTACAGGGGTCATTCTACAGAAACGTCCACTTTTGGTATGGCAATATGTCTTAAAATGTATTTCTTTTTTTAACATTTAAACTTAGACCACATTATTATACCTTTAGACTTTATGAATACACATAAATGACAGCTTAATTATTTTTTTTGTCACTGGTGTTACCTTACTTCTTTGGCAATTTTAAAGGTTTTTATGAAATATTATTTCTCAATTTTTTTGGTACATGTAGTCAGAGTTACAGAAAAATAATGATAATGCAACAAATAAGGAGATTATGTTTTATTTATTTTAATCAGGTTTGTTAAAAGTGTGATTGAGTGATGTTACTTAATTTGCGCAACCATGTATTTTGCTATAACAATGAAAATATTTGTAAAAACAGTTATAAACAAGTAATGATGCAATCCTTTAAATCTTAACTCTTGAGTGAAGCAGAATTCAATAGATGTCAAATTATTATCATGTCACATGTGACGTATTTTATTTAATGGGACAGAAAAAAAAGTAACACCAGTGACACAATGAAACACCAGTGATATACATAAGACCAAAGATCCTTATTCTTCAACTATAATTAAGTAGATAAGACTAAATTGTTACATTTGGCAAGTAGTGAAAGCAGTTAGAAAAAGAGCATAAACTGATCTTCACTGGTGTTACCCATAAGGAAGGTAACACCAGTGACAATTTTCTTGAAACATGCATTTTACAAAATGTCTGCTGCAATTGAGTAGTTTAATCCATTTGTATTCTATTTTTTTTTTTTTTTTACAATTCCCTAACAATAAAGTCATACCAGTGACATCCACTAAAAGCTTCATATGAAATCATGAGATAAATGAGAAAATTTCTGATAACTGAAAAAAGACAGTGGACTTCACATGGGCTTTTTTCATAGATCTTTAGCAAATAGAAGGAAGGAAGTCAAGTGTGATTTTTATTTCAAAATAAAAGATTTTTGTTAAACGGTAACACCAGTGACACAACTCCAGGGGACCACTACTTTCATTACATATTTTATAATATGTATTTGGCATTTTGTTTTTTTTATGCCATTTACATCATATGTTTGATCGTTATGAATACATCATTGTATTTTAAATGGTAGAAAACCCTGTTTTTGACCTCAAAATAAAGAACTTACCCTCTGTACATGGCTGTGGGGACGAGCAGTTTTGTTGTGCTTGGAATTCTTTATAATTAATTAAAAACAAATATTGCCACATTGATGGCTCAAGAAGGTGTAATTGTTCAAATAACACATTGTTTTATTTTAAAATATAAAAAAATTAACCCTAAAGTGTTTTTCAAGTTTAATTTCTGTAAAGGCTAGGGACAGAAAAATTGACATTTCCATAGAATGACCCACAGTAGAAATAATTTGTAATTTTACAGGTTATTACCCCTTTATTCCCCAAACTTCACATATTATTCCTTTATACCTACACGGAGGTACTGAATAGGTACACTATAATTACAAAAAAGTTACACTGTAAATTCTGTTTATTTACGCAGTACGTTGCAATCTAAAGCGTTACCGAAATTACAATAATTATAATAAACTACAACTTAAGATTTAAAAGTTGTTTCATTCATTTCTGTAGTATATTCACTGAAAGCCTTTGATGGCAGCATTCCTTCATCAGTCACTCCAGATAAACACACATGTCTCATCTGTCCCTGTAACATCCAAACAAGAGTCAAGTCACCTCAGTGATTTATCTGCTCAATACTACAATTACATGTTGAGGTAGTTGGTGATGTGTTAAACTGGCATATTATCCAACACAAATTCTCCTCAATTTAATAACAGTACTAATGGACCAATAAAACAGATAACTTATGTTTAGTTACTCTGTGTAGATTTGTTTATTTATTCAACTAAAGTAAGCAGTGTTGACAACAGTGAATTCTACTACATAACACATACATCACTCACTCAGACGTCTATTTCATCTATTAGATATGCTCATCTGCAATTCTTATTGAATATTTTCCTGTCAGAAATGTTACATAGACATTTAGTAATCGTCTGTAAGATGTACATGTTTTATGTAAATACACTTTGGAGACATACGTGTACTTGTACGAGACTGCAGCTCCCCTGTTAACTATACATAATAAAAAGGTGTTTTTACAGCAAAATCACAACTATACTCTATGTAGCATCTTTACACCTTCAACAATTCTAAAGTTTACTCTAAAGTAGTTCAACAAATGCGATTTTAACACAAGGAACTGTGTTTTTGGTTTCTAATTTGAAAATACCCTCACGCTGTTCTCTGCCCTGTTCAGTTATGACTCTTCCACATTTATCCTGCACTCTGACTGCATTTTTTTTTTCAGGTCAGATTTTCTGCAGAGCTCTTATGTAAATATGACCTGTTTTTAAAAAGTGTAATTATTTAATGTTTGAGTATTTATTGGTCAAATATGAGAAAGCCAAACATGCTTTTCAAATGTCTGTGTGGCTGCACCTCATCAGTAAACAGGCATCATGTTTTATGAACAGGCTGTTGTTACTTTTTTTCTGATTCAGAGAGACCATTTTTTTTAACTCAAAATGAATCTGCTTATGTTCATGTTTGTTTAATCTAAAAATATATCAGGGTATATAGCCAACACATCATTTTCTATTTTTGGTAGTGTTGAAGTTAAGCAGAGTTGGCTGTGCCAGATTAAAATTTGCAAACATGCTGTAGTACAGCAGTGTATGAATTTCTATTTTATGTAGGTGAGAGTGCAGTCCAATGATAATAAATGTTGAGACTTTATATTGAAGTCTTCAAACTCTTGAAAAAAATCAAATAAAATCTGTCTGCTTGACAAGCGTCCAGTTCTCCATAGTTATACTGGTCAATTTCACAAACAGACTACTATTTCCTAACAATATTATGCGATGCTGATTGAAAAAGAATGCACTCTGTACACTCGCTAAGTATTTCTCATATTATTTCCCTCCTCTCTTTGCTTCACACTCCAGTCCAGCGGGTGGCGCTAATACACACACGTTTGTTTGCCAAACACCATTAAATCTCAGAGGAAGAAGATTAGTTTCACCGTGATTTCTGTTGTTTTGTCGTGACGCTGTTTTAATACAATCCGTTAGAAATGAAATGCACCTTCTGTAAATAGAAAAATACAGTTTTTGAATCAGGTCAGTAAATACCTGTAATATTGTCATACTCACAGTCATGACTAAGTTTTGAAGCAAGCAGGAATATCTGGAGGAGTATCAGCTGAACTGAGATCTGCTGCTGTGAAGATGGTGTTTGTTAAAGAGGAGAGTGAGGAGAACACAAGTGAACCAGAACCCCGGAGAATAAAACACGAGGAACAAGGAGGTTGATCTTTATCCTTCATTCATCTTTAATGACTGTTTGTGGTACATTAAGCAAACGGACTTGACGGGTGCTTGAGGATCCTTAAAAAGTTTTACTTCCCTTAATCATTAAAATGTCTAAAAAAATCTACCTTTCAGAGGTCTTAGAAATGGGATGGAACTGACAACGATAAAATTTATATTTTATTTTCGCTCATTATTTTTTAGAATCGCTAAACTGTGTTGATCTCAGAGCATGTGAGACTCACCAGATTCACTTTTGGCGCTTTTCCACTGCGTGGTACGACTCGGCTCGGCACGGCTCAGTTCCGAAGATGAACGAAGGTCTTATGGGTTTGAAACGACAGATGAATAGTAAATAATAGTAATAGTGTTCCTGTGGCTCGGTGGTAGAGCATTGCGTTAGCAGCGCAAAAAGTCGTGGGTTCAATTCCCTGGGAACACACATACTGGTAAAAAAAAATTCAGTTCTCAAATTGAGATTTTTTTTCTCAAATATGGCCATTTTGAGAGAGAGAGAGAGATGTGTAAATTGTCTGTGTCTCTACAAACAATGAAGCTGAGTTTAGTTACTTAAAAAACAGCGATTTTACCCCCCTCGTTGCTGAGAAATATAATGTAGCGATTAATAAAAGTCGCGTGGCAGCGATGACAACAAGTTTATGAGCTTCTGAAAGTTACTTTTTGCACAGCGCAATCTCAGATCTCTGCTAGTGGTGTGTGTGTGTGCGTGCGTGCATCAATTAAAGCAGCACATTAATATAGAACGGTGATTAAACTGAACGGTTTTAATGCATTGGCCTTGTCACACACACACATACAGTGGTGTTCAGTACGGTCACTCTGTATATCTGTTAAGAAAATTTTTAAAAGTTTAAAAAACAATTTATGAAAAAATCTTCAGAAACTGTTTGCATGAAAATCAAATTGGCCTATTGTTTTTTTTTATCGGATAATTTAAAAATGTTTATGTACTGTATAAATACAGAATGCATTAAAAGAGGAGGGTGTTGGCACAGTGGTTAACCAGAAAAATTAAAAATGGCACGTCATGCCGAAAAGGTTGCCGACCCCTGCATTAGTGTAATCTCAGATATTTTGCAGGCAAAGGTTTACCTGTTTTACACCTAAAATAATTCATGTACATTTATGACACTGTACTTTGAGTTATATTACCGTGGCACAAAAAAAAAACCAAATATGACATGCTTTATCTCTTCTGTCCAAATGCATACGTTTTCAGTTTTTGTTGAAAATAGTGTCATGTAAATTACACAATGTTCTATTGGGGTTCAGTTTAAGGAGGTGTTTACAAGACACAATTTTCAAATAAAACAAAAAAGCTTTTTATGCATTTTGGCCGTTTATCTACAAAACAATGGCAATTTGGGGGCCTGAAATTGAACTTTTGAAAACCGGTATCAAAGTGCAAATTCCAAAGTTTACAAGCAACAGAAATACAAATTTGTGAACAGTGACGTCATGCGCATGTGTATTACATGTTCAGTCTATAGGTGCATAGGGTGCTTCTCAATGTCCCTCCTCATTTCCTCGCTTCTCCGTCCTCCAATCCTATGACCTGGAAGCTGATCGAGCTCAGCTATCTTGTAGGACATCTCAGTTCTCTTAATTGCATGGTGAGGAGGCAAGGATCGAGGAGCAAGGAGTAGGGCTGGGCAATATGGACAAAAATTCATATACTCTGTAATTTTTGGCCGATTTGCGATGTATGGTTTATATCTCAGTATTTTCGTTTTTGTATTTGGATGAAAAAAAATCTGTATTTAATATATATATATACAGTGGGTACGGAAAGTATTCAGACCCCCTTAAATTTTTCACTCTTTGTTATATTGCAGCCATTTGCTAAAATCATTTAAGTTAATTTTTTTTCCTCATTAATGTACACACAGCACCCCATATTGACAGAAAAACACAGAATTGTTGACATCTTTGCAGATTTATTAAAAAAGAAAAACTGAAAAATGCTCAGTATTTAGTAGAAGCACCCTCTTGATCTAATACAGCCATGAGTCTTTTTGGGAAAGATCCAACAAGTTTTTCACACCTGGATTTGGCGATCCTCTGCCATTCCTCCTTGCAGATCCTCTCCAGTTCTGTCAGGTTGGACGGTAAACGTTGGTGGACAGCCATTTTTAGGTCTCTCCAGAGATGCTCAATTGGGTTTAAGTCAGGGATCTGGCTGGGCCATTCAAGAACAGTCACAGAGTCGTTGTGAAGCCACTCCTTCGTTATTTTAGCTGTGTGCTTAGGGTCATTGTCTTGTTGGAAGGTAAACCTTCAGCCCAGTCTGAGGTCCTGAGCACTCTGGAGAAGGTTTTCGCCCAGGATATCCCTGTACTTGGCCGCATTCATCTTTCCCTCGATTGCAACCAGTCGTCCTGTCCCTGCAGCTGAAAAACACCCCCACAGCATGATGCTGCCACCACCATGCTTCACTGTTGGGACTGTATTGGACAGGTGCCTGGTTTTCTCCACACATACCGCTTAGAATTAAGGCCAAAAAGTTCTATCTTGGTCTCATCAGACCAGAGAATCTTATTTCTCACCATCTTGGAGTCCTTCAGGTGTTTTTTTAGCAAACTCCATGCGGGCTTTCATGTGTCTTGAACTGAGGAGAGGCTTCCGTCGGGCCACTCTGCCATAAAGCCCCGACTGGTGGAGGGCTGCAGTGATGGTTGACTTTCTACAACTTTCTCCCATCTCCCGACTGCATCTCTGGAGCTCAGCCACAGTGATCTTTGGGTTCTTCTTTACCTCTCTCACCAAGGCTCTTCTCCCCCGATAGCTCAGTTTGGCCAGACGGCCAGCTCTAGGAAGGGTTCTGGTCATCCCAAACGTCTTCCATTTAAGGATTATGGAGGCCACCGTGCTCTTAGGAACCTTAAGTGCAGCAGAAATTTTTTTGTAACCTTGACCAGATCTGTGCCTTGCCACAATTCTGTCTCTGAGCTCTTCAGGCAATTCCTTTGACCTCATGATTCTCATTTGCTCTGACATGCACTGTGAGCTGTAAGGTCTTATATAGACAGGTGTGTGGCTTTCCTAATCAAGTCCAATCAGTATAATCAAACACAGCTGGACTCAAATGAATTTCAGAGTTGCCTTCTTAAATGTAGTTAACAGACTTATTTTTTCTGTAAATTGCATAAAACTGATAAAAATGTTTTAAAAATACCATTCACTTAATAGCAGTGATTCATATTTCAACCACAGAAATTAGATTTTATTTTTAATGTAATACAGTTATTGCTATTATTGATCGCACCACAGGATGAGTGGTCGCTCCAAATGACACAAAGACGTTATATCAAATATCTATTTAAAGAGACGTGTGAAAAGTGCAGCACGTGGTATTAACTGCAGGCATTTCTTTAGCCCCAGATATTTCTGTACTTTGCCCAATATTGGCTGCTCAATTGAGCCTTTTGCCGGGAGTTTGATTAACAGGCAGTCTGACATATTATAATGCCGAATCCGTTATTATTGTCCAACAAACAAACCAGACAGGAGAGTAGATTAACGTCGGTGGACTTGAACTTGAAAAATGGTGTATGTTGGCATCTTTTCACGGTTGAAACAAGATACCTTCTGATGTTCATTCATGTTTATTTCATGCTATGAATAGTAAAGTTCATATGCCGCTTGAACTGAGGCGCTACAGCGATCTGTCATGACATGTTAAAAAGCCACAAAACAGTATTTGTTGTTTGAATTTCTTTTAAAAAAATGACAAAATTGAACACTGAGACTTTGTTTCATACTAAAAGTAACCAGCTCTGTCTTGTCTGTCAGCTCATTGTCAGTGTCCTCTTTGCTCCGTGCTGCCTATGGTGAGTGTTTATTTTACTTTGCTTGTGTTACGTCCCAAGGCGTAATTTATTTTTATAGTTTTTTTTGGTGTTATATTTGGGCAGTATTTGATATTGCTGCTATGTTGATAGTTTGTCTTTTGGCAGTGTTTTGTTTTCTCTCTCGCGCTCTCTCTCTTCTCTCTACTCCATGCAATGCTTAATGAAGATCAGCTGGTCCTAATTGTCATCAACTACTGACTTGCTCTGATTGGCTGCTGGAGGGAGAGCGTGTGGATAAAGCTGGAAACTCTGTGTGAAGCGGTGCCCTTCCTGGCCTCTGGAGATTGTTTTCGCCTGCCCCAGACAATAGCATGTGTGCTAGTTGTTGCCTGTTTGCATAGTTGTTAGTGTATAACTTTGAAGCTTTGGAGAGATGTTGTTACTTTGTTTTGTGCAAGTAAACTCACAACATGAGATTTAAGCCAAAAGTTTATAATTACTTTTGGAGCAGTAGGGAGGAGGATGCCGTTTCTTTTAATGTCCATGTTTTCTCCTGTTTTTGTCTAGAAAGGGAGTCAGGTAAGACTTTTGTTGTTTATTTAGAATTTTGTTTTGAGAGATTAGAAAGTACTCCTTTTGTAAATTAGACCTGTTATGTTTGTTGTTTTGGCCTTGTCCCCTCCCGAAGCTTTATTTGCTCCGTGCTTAGTACTTTTTTGAACTTGTTAAATAAAGCAATTTTCTAGACTGTTACGAAAGTCTGTGTGATTTTCTGTGGAGTGCTGGGACAGGAGAGAAGACCTCCAGATTGCCGGTTGAAAAGTTGTTTCTTTTCTTCTGGCTTCGTTCGTAAATTTCCTTGTTTCATCCATCCCTGACCCTAGACAGGGGAGGCATGTAACAATTGGGGGCTTGTCCATTTTTAATTGTGCGAATTTGGACGTCAAATTTTTTTTCCTGTTTTTCATTACGAACTCCAATATCTCGTTGTTGGATGTGTAGGTAAGTTTTGTTTGGCTGCTTTAAACTTTGGTGGGTGAGGAGGTCCTATATTACTGAAAATATGCATTTCGATTTGATAGTTCACGCTGTCTCCTTCTTTGGAGGAATTCAACTGTTGTCGAAAAAAAGATCTGCTTTTAATAGCTGACTTTTATATGACAGTTTCTAGAGCCACACGTAAACAAGCGATAAAAGAGGAGTTGTATAGCAAGTTGGTAGAGGCAGGTATTTTCCCAGAACAAACACTAGAGCAGGGGGGTGAAGCTGACATTGGCACAGAAGATGACTCCCGCTTAGTAGCTAGCAGTAAAAATGCAACTTCTGTAAATCCTCAGGTAGCTCTGAAATTAAAAGAGCTTGATCTCGCATTAAGAAAGCAGGAGCATGAGACACCGCTGCTTCGGCTGAGAGCTCTTGAAATCCAAGCAGATAGTGACACGAAGTTGCGTAAGCTTGAGTTGGAAGTGCAAACTCTGCGTAATCGCCCGATTCCTATACCTTGTTCTAGGCCGCCTTCCTCTAGTGATAGCGTTGCGTCTACATGTGAATTTGATGTTGGCAAATACGTCAAATTAGTACCACCTTTTCGCGAATCAGAGGTAGACTCTTATTTTGTTGCTTTCGAGCGTGTATCCGCAAAGTTGAATTGACCGAAAGACATGTGGGCGTTACTGTTGCAGTGTAACCTTGTTGGCAAAGCACAAGAGGTATGTGCTGCTTTGCCAATTGTCGAGTCGTAGGACTATGACACTGTGAAAACGGCTGTGTTGAGGGCATACGTGTTGGTGCCGGAGGCATATCGACAAAAGTTCAGGACGTGTTTAAAGGAAGCCAAACAAACTTATGTTGAATTTGCAAGAGAGAAAAAAATGCTTTTTGAAAAGTGGTGTCTTGCTAGTAAGGTTACCACATTTGAGGCATTGCAAGAATTGGTCTGTCTTGAAGATTTTAAAACTTGTGTACCGGAAAATGTTGTTGTTCATTTAAACGAACAAAAAGTGTCAAAGTTTTCTGATGCGGCGGTGCTTGCCGATGAATTTGCACTTACTCACCGAACTGTCTTTTCTTCTGCGCGTCAATCTAAAACTTCCCTGGCTACAGAGTCTATAGTTCAAGATGCACTTAGAGTGAAGGTCAGCAAGACTAGTGGTGGAGGGAAGTCGCTCTCAAAGAGCGCAGAAAGGAGGGTTTGCTTTTTACGGTCTCGATCCTGACCATATAATCGCGGATTGTAAGGCGTGGAAGCAGAAGGCTACAAATGCAAAACCTAAAAGTGTTGCGTTTCTACAATAATTTCCTGATTTATTTGCGGCTGACACATCGTCCTATGGTCCCTTTCTTCTGACAGGTTATGTGTCGCTAGCTGGTGACTCTGCAGATAAGTGTGTGCAGGTTCTGAGAGATACTGGGTCGGCTCAATCCTTCGTGCTTGAGGATGTTTTGCCCTTCTCTGATGCGTCATATATGGGCGCAAATGTCCTTGTTCGTGGTATCGAGATGGGCTGCATTAGCGTTCCGTTACACAACGTTTACTTAAAGTCTGACCTTGTTACGGGCTTGGTTCAAATTGGGTGTGTGTAAACAGTTGCCCGTAGACAATGTTGGCCTCATACTGGGAAATGACCTTGCCGGTGGTAATTTTCCCCATCCAATAGTCGTAAGCAAGCCAATAGTCTGTGATTTCCCCTAATCTCTCTGCGACGTATCCTTTAGCTTTTCCAGCATGTGCTGTTACGGGATCTCAGTCAAGAAGCTTTCAAGATGTTGTTGATCTCTCTGATTCTTTCCTGAGTGTGCAGCCTAAACCGGTAGAGTGCAGGTTATCTGTTGAGAGTGAAATGGTCTCTGAGCATGACTCCCAACTTCCAGTTGAACTTCATTCCATAGTGGGTAGGGAACATTTGGCTGCTGCCCAGAAGTTAGACCCTACACTTGTAAACTGCATTAGTGCTGCAGTTAACATTCGCAATCTTTTGTTGGCAAAGGTAGCATACTTTTGGGACGATGGGATTCCGATGCAAGTGGCAGCCAAAATCTTCAGACGAAGGTGATTGGCAAACTGTATATCAGATTGTTTTGCCTTCCAACTACTGTTCCCATGTTTTGAAATTGGCACACGCAAATGTTCTTGCTGGACACCTCGGTGTCACTAAAACATTTCAGCGGATCGTTAAACATTTCTACTGGCCTGGAATCAAATCTGCTGTCTCTCGTTACTGCCGGTCATGTGACATCTACCAGCGTGCGGATAAACCAAATCAAACCATTCCTAAAGCTCCTCTTCAGCCGATTCCTGTCATAGGAGAACCTTTTGAGAGGCTGGTGATTGATTGTGTAGGGCCCCTTCCGAAGTCGAAACATGGGCACCAGTTTATTTTGACAATGTGTACTGCTACCCGTTATCCTGAAGCCATACCATTGCGTACGTTGAAAGCACAAGTAGTGCTGAAAGAGGTTGTAAGGTTTTGCACTACATTTGGCTTACAGTTATTAAAACTGACCAGGGGTCAAACTTCACCTCAAAGGTATTTGGACAAATGTTGAAAGAGTTAGGAATAAAACATCACATGTCTAGTGCGTACCACCCTGAGTCACAAGGAGCGGTGGAACGTTTTCATAAAACCCTAAAAACTAAAAGGACTGGGTGGACGGCTTGCCATTGCTCATGTTTGCGGTGAGAAAGTGTTCAGGAGTCACTAGGATTTAGCCCTGCTGAGCTTGTGTTTGCTCATACTGTTCGTGGCCCCTTGAAGTTGTTAAAGGAGCAGTTAATAGGTAAGGATAGTGCACCTATTTCTGTGCTAGACTATGCAAGTTCTTTCCATGGCACAGTCAAAGATGAAGGCCCACTTTGACAAAAGAACAGTACAGCGCAGTTTTCAGCCGGGTGAGTCTGTTCTTGTTACTTCCTATTCCTGGCTCAGCTCTGCAGGCTAAGGTTTCGGGGCCTTATGTCATTGAACAGAAACTGAGTGAAACCGATTATGTTGTGGGTACCCCTGATCGCAGACGCA